CTCAGGCTATAACGGGGGGCACATGCAGACAGGGGCTCTGCCTCCAAGAGCCCACAATCTGGTGAGATCGACACACCGAATAACACAAACTCCTGCTTGATTCGCGTCAAGAAGGAAATAGAGGACCCTATGAGACCAGACCACCTGGGGTCCACACCTGGTCTGAAGGTATCAGGAAAGGCCTCCCTAAAGAAGTAACTCTGCTTTCCGGGATCTGAAGGATGGTCTGGGGCCGACGGGAGTGAGGTTGTCGCCTCCTCTCCCTTCTGGACTCGACACCCTTTTGTCCCTCCTGGGGCCACCCTTCTGCAGGTGCCCGTGTGATGGTTGGAGGGGGACAAGGCATTCCACGTGCAGTCTGACTTCCTTTCCAATGAACGCTATGAACGCCAAACTGGCACCAGCCTTTCGGGCAGCCCCATTATCTTGCTGATGCTGAAATCCTGACATTATGTTTATAGTTTTTTATTAGACAAAAAAAAAAAAAAAAAAAATCTCATCCAAAAAATAATATGTAAGAAAACGCATGCAGTTAGGCAAGAGCCTGTCGTAGCAACCCCAGGCTGGGTCTTGGGGACCCACCGCTCTCCTTCCCAAGGGAATTGTTCAAACCCCCCACCCCCGACGTGTTGTTCCGCTCCAGAAATTTGCCGGGTGTCACTGTCATGCTCAGTTTGCTATATTCTGTGTATTCTTTTATCATTTTAAAATGATGTTTAATGTTTTTTCCCAGACTCCAGCAAAAACAAAAGACCTTCTTCTGGGGATCCTTCCCTAAATCCCTAAACCCTCACCCCCGCCCCCAGCTGTCTTCTGCCTCCCTTCACGCATCCCCTGCACCTACACACTATAATGCTGAATCATTTATTTCGTAAGATATTTCTCTTAGGATGTGCCAGAGGCTCCTAAGCATTTATGTACTAACTCACTGAGTCTCATAATATGTGGTATCATCGTCCCCATTTTACAGATGAGGAAACTGAGGCAGAAGTAAAGCTACATGCCCAGAGAAGGGACACGCTCTTAGCCTCTGCTGCCCCCTTGTTGTCCGCACCCCTCTGTGCAGGGCCACGTCCGAAGGTCCCGCCAGCCCCAGAGCCCAGCCAATTCTGGGAGCTCATTCCAGGCCGTCGAACAAAACCAGACCAACGGTTCTGCCCAAGCACCACGAAAATTTCCAGTCTGTACACTTGGCTCCCTTCTCTGTTGCTCCCCACAAGTTCCCGGGAGCCTTGAGGAAGAAGACAGAAAGCAAACAGGAAGTAGACTTTTGCCTTCTCTGACACCTGTTAGTATCAGACCATCTGCCCGGAAGCAAGGAGTCTGTCCCTCTTCACCTTCTCACTGTTAAACATTCCCAGTGATGGGGAGCTCAATTGTTGCATCTCTGCGTTCTGTGCCTCCGCCCCTCCCCTGGTGGCCCCCCCTCCGCTGCTCCCTGCCGCCGTCCCCCATGGCACCTGCCCCTCTTCTCGCACACACTGGGACCCGCTTACTCACAAGTGGGGACAGCCTGTTTCCCAAACCCATCACCACGTTCCTGACCTTTAACTCGACAGCCGGTACAGCCACCACCCCTGAGCTGGTCTGACATAAGCAGCTCACCTCTGCCCCTTCACTTCCAGGCCCTTAAGGGACGACGAGCACGGTGCTGGGAGCAGTCCATTTCTGGGGGCAGCATGCTGGACAGAGATGTAATGTATCGTACACATGGGTGGGTCTCATTTTAAGAAAAAAAGTATTGGGGTGCCTGGGTGGCTCAGTCGGTTAAGCGGCCGACTTCGGCTCAGGTCATGATCTCGCGGTCCGTGAGTTCGAACCCCACGTCAGGCTCTGTGCTGACAGCTCAGAGCCTGGAGCCTGTTTCGGATTCTGTGTCTCCTTCTCTCTCTGACCCTCCCCCACTCATGCTCTGTCTCTCTCTGTCCCAAAAATAAATAAACGTTAAAAAAAAAATCTGAAAAAAAAAGAAACAAGTATTATGCAAAAATATGATCTTAGAAAAGGAGTAAATTTGGGGATGATTACTCACAAGCATTACAAAAAAGAGAATCGCTGGGACGTATAATCGAGACAATGCTTCTAATGTGCCTGCATTCTGAACTCACTCAATAAACACAGCTTCATTTCTTATTGTCATTGTTCCCATAATTGTGTGTTGATGACGCTTCTCGGGACTTGAGACAGAACCCTAACAACAAAATCCTACCACTGGTAAGTAAACCACTACAGTCTTTAATGGAACTAGAAACAACTAGGATGTTAATTACATGGTAGCAATTAACAGCCTGAAACAGCTATTCACTGAGTGTGCATATCAATGTACCCACTGGGCTGGCACGAGATAGCCAGGCTGCTGTCATTCCTTCCAGAAAAAAACCAATCTCTTTACTTAGCAAACAGAGGAGCTGGATTAATAGCCCCTCATTTCTGCTAAATATTCTAATGCATCAATATTATTTGTTCCAGAGGAAATTTTCACTTTCTCATGCTCAGTCGGTGAAGCAGAACGTTTTCTGCTCAAAGAAATGCCTCACAGCCCATACCAAGACCCAAAAACTTTCTCTGAAAACATCAGTGCCCCGAATTTCACAGGCCGGTTCTTTCTCAGAGCCCCGGATGCCCTAGGACTGTCACAGAAGCCAGGGCAGAGCTGAGTCAAACCTGTCCTTCCAGCTACGATTCCAAGGAAAACCCCAGGGCTGGCTGGGGCTGACGCATCTCCCATGGCCTCCCCATGTTCTTTCGGGACAGTTAGCCTCTTGCTTTTTGATGAACCGCAGCCCGTTCAGAGGGATCACAGTGTTTTGCAAACTGCGTTCAGCTCTTCCCCGAGAAACAACTGGGATTCTCATTTCACTCATGAGGAAACAGGGACTCAGAAGGTGAACGTAGCAGAGCTGGGACACGGAGCCAAGCCTTCCAGAACCAGCACCATGACCATTAACCACACTCCTCACTTGAATGGTTACGGTATCGTGTTTGTCTCAACGGCCGCCATTTTTTGAACACCTGCTACGTGCTCTCTCTATATTTGCCACTACTGGGTGTCTAATAGACATCTGAAAAGTAACGTGTCTGTAAGAGGAAACGTATTTATTCACCCCCCACCCCGGTGTCACCCCCACCCCTGTTCCTCCCTCTGTCTTCCTAATCTTGGGAAACGGCACCGCCATTCAGCCACTGACTGAGATCACAAGGCTTCGAGTCTTCCTTGGAAGAGAGAGAGACAGGAGGGAGAGGGAGAGAGGAAGGGCAGGGGAGGGAACGGTGGTAGAAGGAAGGGGCAAGGAGGGAGGGAAGAGGAAGGGAAGAGGTGAGGGAGGGTCAAAGAAAGGAACCTTCCACTACAGGAAAGCCCAGGTGGAAAGCCTACGTGTGTAATCTTTTTTAGCCTGTGTAAATCAGTGTCCTCAAAATAACACTTCATTTCCATTTGTTTGTTTGATTCAGACACCGGAAAAGGCACGGGATTCCCCGCCATTCAGAGTCACAAAACCATGAGCCTCCCTCAAACAACCGTTTGCAGAACAGGAATTCGGGCCCAGCCTGGAACTGGGTCCAGTTTTTCCAAAGGCAGGATGAACTAGCCGCAGGCCCTGAGGCCACGAAGCCTGCAATCTCACCCGGTAACGCGGCTCTTATCAGCCAGCCCTAATACGCGGTGGAAGCCGACACGGAGCAAAACAGGTGCACACAGAGAAAGCCACGGTGGCCAGTGGGAGTTGGCAGCAATTCCCGGCAGGGCGGGCGGAGACGATGGCACTGGGGCCAGACCTCGGGAGGGAGGTGGGTGGGAAGGAGAGGGGAGGTGTGCTGGGCACGCAGCCTGAACCCAGCCAGCAGTCACTGGTCCCCCCAAGTGTGTGATTCCTGCTCCCCGCCTGCAGAAACGGGCAGGGTGGGCAGATTATGGAACGTGCCCAAGGTCACGCAAGGACAAGGAAAAGCCACGCTCTCGGGCAGATTTAAAGTCAGACCTGACGAGCGGTCACGTAGAGATGTGTGATGTGTGTGGTCCCCGCGCAGTGACACGTACCCGGCCTCTCCGGGGAAGGTTTCGCAGGGACTGTCTCCAAGGCGGACTCCCCACTGCCTCCTCCCTTTGACTGCACCCCATCGAGCTCCCTCTCAAGGGCCCAAGCTCCTGGAGGAGGGCAGCCTTCCTATCTTGATGACGTTTCAGTCACCGCGGCCTGACTACCTGGCAAGTGTATTACCCTCCGCGGCCCCAGTGCTTGGCCGCTTAGCCACGATTCCATTCGCCCCAGCTGCAGGCACACTCTTAGCGTCTCCTCCACGCCAGACCCGGAGGTGGCTCTAGGAATAAGACGTGAGCCTCACGGAGCTCCCCCAGGGTGTGGTGGTGGGGGGGTGGTGGACAGAGATATCAAGAACAGGTCTCCCCAGGGCATGGTGAGGGGTGGGGGAGTGTGGTCAGACCACAAAGAGCAGGGGAAATCAGAAAAGCACCACTGGAGGGGACGGAGTGAGTGAGGCCTGAGCCCTGTTCTGGAAGGCAAGGCAGGCGGAAGGCACTGCGGGAGGCGGGAACAGATTATGCAAAGGCATGGAGACCTGAAACACCGTAATGGGAACTAAGAGCCTCTCGGGAGCCCAGAACGAGGGCAAAGGAGGGGATAAAACCAGAGCGCACTGCGGGGGGCTGATCTTAGCAGGCCGTGAATGCCAGGACGGGGAGTGCGGCCTCCCTCGTGGCTGCAGGAATTTCAGCCGGGGAGAGACGTGAGCGGGCTCGTGTAGCTGCGGCTGTTAGGACGGGATGTGTGCCGAGAGTCTGACGGCAGAGAGAGAGGAGGCTGCTACAACAGCCCGGGCTTAACAAAGAAAAAGAGAGAAGGCAGGGAGGCGGGGAGAGCCCGAAACGCGGCGGGGGAAGACGGAGCAGAGGGAAGTCGGGGGGGAAAAGGCGCCGCCGAGCGGCTGGCGGGCGAGCCGGCGGGCTTCGCGCCGCACCTGCCGGCGGCCGGGAGACTCACCGCGGAGCCAGCGCGCGCCGGCGTGCGTGTCCTTGGGGCGGAGGAGGCGGCGGTGCGCGGCGCTGCGGCCCACGTACCACAGCATCCAGAGCAGCTGCAGCAGCATGAGCGCCGTGAGGACGCACAGCAGGTCGCTCTTGCCCACGCCCGAGGCGTGCACGGCCCAGGCCAGCAGGAGCAGCAGCCCCGCCGCGAACACGATCAGCCCGTACTGGCTGCTCAGCGCCTCGGCCAGCTTCTGCGGGACGCTGGCGCGGAGCGCGCCCCGCCGAGGGGCCGGGGACTCCCGCGGGGCCGCGAGCTGGGGCGAGGGGCCGGCCGCGGGCCCCGACGGCACCCTGTCCGGGGCGCTCCCGGCCGCCTGGGGAGAGGCAGGCGCCCCCTGGCCCCCGGGCATCACGGAGTGACCCGCCCGGAGTCTGGTTCCGGGAGTGGCTGCGGGCCCGGGGCCCCACCGGCTGTCCCCACCCCCGCCCTTGCCCTGACGCTCTGCCGACCGGTCCCCCTCTCCCGATCGCCCTGCGACACCTGCCCTCCCTCGGTCAAGGTGCACAGCCCGGTCCGCTCACCGCCGCCGCCCCCCACCCGCTGACCCCGTGCTGACCCCGGCTGCCTCTTCGCCCTCCTGAAAGCGCACTGCCCACCTCCCGGGACTCCCCAAAGCCCGGGGGCGGCCCTCCCGCCCACTATTTGACCCACGCGGGCCGCTCCCCGCCCCTGACGCCTGGGACCCGGGCCAGCCCTCCCCCGACGTCCTCTCCCCGCGCCCGGCCTCCCCCCGCCCGGCCTCCGCTGTCCGCACCCCTGTCCGCTTCGTGGACGCCCGCCCACCCAGCCCTGCCCGGGCGTCACGGAAACCCTGGATGACGACAGGTGCCTCCTGGCTCCTGGGATTGCGGTGGGGGGCCAAGGGTCACCCTGAGTCAGCCGGACCGAGTAGGCGCAGGGGGCGTTGATGCGGTCCGGCAGGGGTGCCCCAGGGGCCGCAGGTGTGAGCACTGTTCGGACTGTCCCAGAGGAGCTGCGACGCGGACCGCAGAGGTCTAGGTGAGCCTCAAAATGTCCTTGTGAGTCTGTCTGTCCTTCACCCTGTGTGTTTCTACCGTATGTTTTCTCTGTGTGAATCTCTGTCTGTGTCTGGCTGTCTGTCTTAGGGGTGTGTCTGGTTGGGACAAGGAGGCGACGGCATCTCAGCGCTCCTCCCTCGGTCTATGAATGGGGGAGGGGTGTGTTTTGTTTGTGTCTGTGTTTGTGCATCTGGTGTGCTTGTGTGTCTGCCAGATGCCCCGATGCCCAGGAGCTGCCTCCCAAGAAGAGAGATCACCTGTGCACCCCCTGCAAGGGAATGGGAAGCTGCTTCTGGAAGCAGAGGTGTTGGGGGGAGCTGCCTAGGGCCTTCCCGGAGCTACAGGTGCCCCCAGCCCGTCCCTCAGCACCCCAGCCCCTCTGAAGCTGACCGCGTCTGCCAGGGCGTCCCGCTCAGATGCCACTGAAGAGGAGAGTCTCCCCACCCAGAGGTTTTTGCAAAAGAGCATCCTAAAGGCAGAGGCGGCTGAGAGCAGAGTGGGAGCAGGGAGTGGGTGAGGGAGCCGCTGGGGGGCCTGCAGCCTGGAGGAGGAAAGGCAGGCCTCCCGCGCGAGCCTCCTGTGCTGTAATAGAGGGCTCCTCACCCAGGAGCCCCCCTCTTCCCCTGGGTTTCACGCTCTCTGTTGCTCTCCTGAAATTAATTTTTGAACAAGCAGACCCACATTTTCATCTTGCAGTGTAGCGGTTCTGATTGCCAGAGAGTCCTGAAGGGGCGGGGGCTGGACCAGCAGGGAGTCAACCTGGGAGCCTTGTCTTGCCTTCATTCAGTCATTTTTTTTTTTTCACTCATTCATTGGTGTGGCCAACACTTACTTATCCAACGCTGAATCATGTGCCAGGCTCTTCTGGGTACTGGAAACTTCAGCTATGAAAGACTGCCGTCAAGGAGCCGGCACCCTGGCAGGGACATGCTGAACAGACAAGTATGTGTCGGGAATGCACTGGGAGGCTAGGGAGCATCCGATGTGAGACTCGGCCCTGTCTTCTAATCATGGCCCGCAGCGGGGACTGAGCAAGCAGCCCCCCGGGGAGCAGGGCTGCCCCGAGGGGAGGGTTGGGTGAGCCTTGGGTCTGCCAGGAAGGGTGAGACGGTCCTAGAGGAGGCACGGTTTGCTCCTCTTTTGGGAGGAAGACTGTGACTTTCAGCTGGGTTTCCCCCGACCCAGGCCAGGTGATGCTCGGTAAATAAACCGAGGGGTTAACGAAGTTGCATGAACAAGCAAGCCAGGTGTGGGTCTCACCAGACCCGCAGGGCACGGGCACAATGCTGTGTCTTCCCACAACTGCTCCGTCCCCTTCCCTTGCTTTCTTTTCCTCCTTAGCTCACACCTGGAACGTGTGTACACCTGTGGCCCGTCTCTCCCGCCGTAACGAACGGTCTAGAAGGACATTGCCTATCTTGTCCATGGCTCTAGCTCCAGCACATAGGACAGTGGTGACCAGCACACCCGAGGTGCTCAGTGAACACGTGTTGAATGCGTCCCCCCCCCTCCAGTGAAGCCCTAACTCCCCATCCCTGTTAATGCGACCTTATTTGGTAATGATCGATCAAGTTGAGGTCATCAGGGTGGGCTCTGATCCAATATGGCCGTGTCCTTACAAAAAAGGGGAGACTGAAGACAGACACATATAGAGGGAAAGGTGATGTGAAGACACAGAAAGAGTGCC